GACGGACTCTCTCCAACAGGGAACGCCGGAGGCGAATGAGGCTACCCCGGAGACTTTCCGTTTGGCTCTCCTTTTTCGCACCGAGAAGGATAATCTTTAGGTTCGCTGAATCTGCTGTCTCCAGAATTCCAAGCTGATAGTTGTGCGGTTCCAGGTTCGTGAGCTGTGCTTGAGGGAAGACATGAACGACGCTATCTTCGATAGAAACGAATTTGCCTCGGCTATCAGCTTTGTTTGGTGGGTGACATTGTGAAACCATGGTGGAAAAGAGTGTGGTGTTGATACTCTGGCCACAGAGCTTTGACTGTTCCCACTTCCAAACGAGCTCCTCGGTCTTTGAATATACGAAAGGGGCTTTGATGACCGGGATTTTCGAGGAGCGATCAATATGGCGAACCTGCTTCCTGCTGCATTTAGCACCTTTCAAATGGTCATTGGAATTCAAAAGACGTACGCTTTCGCACGCCGGGAACGCGAGAACAACGGACGTTCGATTACTTGTAACATCAAGTGCTGCATGCATCAAACAGTCCTTCTCCCCAGGAAGAGCTCCCGGTAGCAATCCGCATATACTGGTCTTCTTCGACGGTTAGGTGCAGAATCAGCGCTGATCTGCTCGAGTTTGGCGATGATATCTGTGTATGGAGCTGTATCGGGAGGTCTTAAAGATATCGGGGATAAAGGACAACGCAATCTAATGGGGATCAGGCGGAAGCAAGGGTTTTTCTATCACAACTTGAATGGGTTCAATGGAACCTAAAAGAGCTTGCATTTTCACAGGGGCTATCCGGGTGACAGTTCAAATCGCAAATGTTGATAAACTGCCTAATATCACGTGCTCATTATTGGTCAACACTTCTGGCTCAACTTTCAGTATGAGCTGTTGAACATACTTATTCACATAGCCAGAGACTAAGGTCAAGGTGAATAGGGTTAAACATCTAATTTGGTCACCCGACGTACACACAGGAATTATTTGATTTTCGAGAAGCTTAGAAGAACATCAATCTGCCTTGATATTGTCGTTAAAAGCCCGGTCAACCTATTTGAAGATTGATTCTGATCATCAAGAGGGGTGAATCTCTGGCTATGGCTGAAATTGTAAGGAAAACTGAACTGCTTCAATGAGATGCTTCCAAACTCAGATTGTGACTGGATCTCCTAGGATTTATAGCTTTCTTGTGGATGAAAGCGGTTGTTTCGAGCGGACAGAAGGTGTAGATGCTGGGCACTAGCCTACCCTTTGCTACGGCGCGAAATCAGACGCATGCAGCTAAAAAGAGAAAGGCTTCTCAGATTGGAGGTTGGAGACAAGATACCGAAAACCTATCGGTTGGGATACTTATCATTCCCCGCGAATGTCCACAGGGCCAAATATAGTTGGGAGAAAAAGTAGGATCACGAAGCCATTCGGTAAAGAGCGATGACATTGCTTCGCACGCGTCAACATAGGGACAGCTGCCTAGCTGGAAGATGGAGATATGCACAGCTTCAATTTCAAGAACAGATCAAGTCTCCTCGGCCATACCATTTACACGCGGCTTTTCCGGCTCCCAGGACCGCCATAAGACCAAATACTGTACAGCAGAACTATCACCCTGGTGGATAACGCGTTTGGCAATGGTGCCTATCGGTATTTTCTGGCCAATCTGGGGATTTCAGCTTATTCCCCGAGTACGATCTCCCCATGCAACTTAATAGGTCTTCAATATGTTCCTACTGAGGAACAAGCCGCTGACGGTCTCACCAAGCCGTTGGGACCTACGGCTTTTGTCAAGTTCTGTAGTCTTCTAGGAATCGAAGCCTTGGAGACTCAGAGGCAACAAACGTGACAGCGCAGGCGCTCTTTCCACTTTATTTTCCCACGAAGGTTTTTGAGTGGTTTTACCGAGGCTTGCCTGCACAGCGTTAATCCAGTATCGCCCTGCCAGCAAAGCGATCCTGAGGGGGAATGTTGTGATATGAGGCTGGTGCAGATCAGGAACCAAGCCGCACCGTCGGAATTAGCTCCGAAGTGTCTATACAGACGACCAAGTTGATTTCCAATCAACTTGGCTCATTGTTGTATATATAGGCACATGTATCACTCTGAAATAACAAGTCAATTCATACCTCTGAACAACAACAGAAATGTGACGAAACACGTCCCGCTTGTCTCAGATGTACGAGCACAGGCAGGCAATGCGACGGTTATGGACAAGCCGTTGATAAGAGAAAGCGCGAGTGGCGTGAATCCAGAGCCAAGAATCAGAACAATGAAGCTCTGCAAATCCAATGTTGCTCGAAAGTTCGGGCATTGGTCACGACTGTTCCTCTGCCTTTGGCAAGTGCCTGCCAGATCGACCTCAATCAGAACGAGCTATGGTATCTGGATTTCTACCACAACCGCACAGCAGTACGATTCTCGCAATACTTTCAAAACTCATTCTGGCAAGGATTGCTTTTCCAAATGTGCGAAAATCATCCTGCTATCCGTCATGCTTCGATCGCTATGAGTGCGTGGCATACCCAGATGGAACCCGTTCCATTTAAAAAGACCGGGGGCCCAGTCTGGCTCTTCAGCATTCTACAAAAGCCATTGCTTGTCTTCGAGAAAGTCTCGCTCGGGAAGATCCTTGCAACTCAAACCGCACCCACCAGCAAGTAGTGTTAGTCACATGTTTGACTTTTACCCTCCTTACTATATTCCAGGGAGATCTGTATTCTGCTCGTCGTCACCTTGTTTCCGGCTATAAACTTTTGAAAGTCTGGGATGATCAGCGAGATACTGATGCTATTGGTCTAGCCATAAGACAGGCTTTTTCTCAGATGCACGTTTACTGGTCCTTCTGCTCTTATACCGCGTTATTTGTTGAAAATTCCGAGCAACTCAATAGCGGGTATCGGACATTCCCAAACACAACAGTCCCCCCTATCAAAGATTACCCCGCCTTCGGGTGCTGATCAGATGGACCTTGTCCAAAACTTCTCAACTGTCGTCTCGGGATTGATACTGGACTACAGTACTTGCGGTTTTGATATTGGACCAGCAAGCTCCATCGGCCGCGGCGCGGCACTAGTTTTGACTAAGCTTCGGCTCTGTAAAAGTCACCTTCTAGCCGTGCTCGCTGAATTGAATGGTCTTGCGCCAGAGGACTGCGATTCACTCATGGTTTTCTCATTGTTGATCGATGCCATTGGAATTAAGCTAGCTGTCGCTAGAAGCCAACCACCAAATGAGATGGTTTACGATGATCACCTGGATCAGTTTCAGAATATCACAAAAATTGCACGAACCCTAGCAGACTCAACTACGGGTTTTAGTGACATCACGATTTCGCCGTTTAGCTACAGGTACTCTGTTTTGCCTACGCTTTTGTGGTCTGCGGCTAAATGTCGCGATTGGCAGGTCCGTCGTGATATCTTTTATATAATGGACAAACGACCAGAAGATGACTACTGGGCATCTGCGACAATTGTGGCCTTAAAGAAACTTATTGATATAGAGTCAACTGGAGTAAAGCCGGGGGACATCATTCCTAAATCTGCTCGAGCCTACTGGGTTAACGTGAAGATGCAGTCTGAGGGATCCAAGGTTGAGTTACGGTATCGAAGGCCTCCATACGAGTCACACTTGAAGCATGGAAGTTATGAGTGAGAAAAGACAATCTCGGCGTTGATGAGAGTTTTTGGGTGATTTTCCAAGAGAAAAATGTCTTGACTGCCTTGAAGCCCTGAGCATCCTGGGAAGCCTACCACCAGGCATAGTGGCTATGCCAAAGCGCGAGAGCTACTACAGGTGAGTGATTGCTCATATACCTAAGCCATCTCCACTTCTGACATTGGAACTACTATGAAAAGTGATTCATGTACCCTCTTACATGGAGTTCAAGATGCCTCCCGATTCATTCGATATCACAAGGTAGCAATTGAAATAGGCCCCCTTCAGGTATACCATTCGCCTTTGATATTTAGCCCCATGTCAAGACCCACTAGAAATGTTATCAAAAAGGTGCCAATGCTCCACCCCTCGAAGCTAGAGGTTATCCGGGACAGGATGAACTACGTCGGAAAGGGCTAGGACAGATAGTAGTGTCCTTACTTTTGGAAAAGGCCAAACAATGCTTCCAAGACGGTATGCCAGGCGGCGGAGACTCAGATCTTACCTACAGATCTAACGAGGATTTCTAATCAGCAATTGGTGGGCAGATCCGCGGAAGAACGCTTGATGGCACGGGTTCGAAATCAAACCGGTGATATTGAGTTTTGGCGATCGTGCGGGTTTCATCGAACGGGAGCATCTCGCTGTTTTGCATTTTCATTCGACCTCCAGTATCAACCTGAGGTCTTTGTGACAGTTGCCATGATTGGTTCGGACAATGTGAGGTGGAGTTTTTGGATATCGTAGAGTAGCGCACGGGTCCAAATCTCGGGAAACCCGGCAACGATACATCAAACTCTTCAAACCAAATTTAACAATACCAACAGCACCTCATTTGACCACCCCTCGGCTTTCACGATGCCTCCACACGCCTTTATAACGATATCAAACACAAAGATCACCGATGCCACTACCCCTTGTGTCGCAGTTTTCATCAGTGCGACGGCGGGTATTGCAAAGGCCACCTTGACACTTGATTTGGAAAAGCACACCTATCAAGGTTTCCATCCACGGCCACAATGAGAAGACGCATATACGACGGATATCCTGCATATTTATGCGGCGACCGTACGATCTGAAACCCCTGCTACTTTTCTTGATATCGAGTGCTAATCTAGAAACTTGTATTAGTCAAGATATGTGAGAAAGATTGACCAACGAGTAAAAGAGAATATGTTTGACGTATCTAAAGATATGAAAGGGAACTATAACCTACCTAGTTCCTTTCCATTCTCAATTCGGATATCGCGGCTCTCTTGTTACCTCAGCGGACAACTCAAACCTCGCATCCTGTAGACCAGCCGGTTTCTCATTTCTAACATCCAGCTGCCCGAGTTCGTAAGGCTCGGGAAAAGTCGACATGGCATCCGTCACATTGACCGATTTCGCACTTATCCGTCGTCGACGAAAATGGAACAAAAGGAAGGCAATGACAAAAATAGTTCCCGTGCCCACTCCTACACCTACACGGAGTCCGGCTTTGCCGCCACCCGAGAATCCTGAAGACTTCGAACTGGAGGATGTTGCCGAGAGACCATTTGAGACACTAGTAGAAGTCGACATCGACATTGTCGAAGAACCCGTTGAAGTCGACGCTTGCTCGCCCAATTACCGAGTTATCGTGATGCTATTTGTAGTATTGCAGCAAGAGGTATCATCGCCACAACACCAGGTTGTAGAGTTCGCAAATCCGTCGCAAGGGGTTTTCTTTGGAGTGCCGCCAGAAAGTCCTACTCCTGGGTTCTACAGAAAATTATCATCAGCCAGAAGCTCATTTGCTCATCAACCTCACCAGAAATCATACTGTTTCCTGCGTACAGACATTTAAATAGCCATCACTCGTCCAGTCCGTGGTCGTACACTGGTCGCGCCAGTATGTGGTATGTGTGACTGTTTTCTCCGCTGCTATCGGTGCTCTTGGCTTCATTTTTGCATAGTCCGTTCTCAAGACATTTGTCTGCGGTGAGTCCACCATCGAGGTTTCCGCCGCTCGGGTTTGTGCGATTGGTAGCGCAGCACATGCTCGTCGTGCCACTGTAAGAGACGCATGGTTGGTATATTTTGGAGGTGGTGCTGTAACCGTTGGGGTAGTAACAGACGGACGTTGCTAAATGAGTTAAGCTGAGGAGGTTTAGAAAGAGAAAGAGACAGCCTGGAAGTTGGACTAGTTTCATGGTTCTTGAGGAGTACCCAGGCACAAAATCGAAACCCGGAGGGTGTAAATCATTAAAATCAATATAGGGGTCGGCACGAATACATATTCGTAACATTTTGAGATATTCGCTGTTGAGTATCACGGTGGTCAAAGCTTGTGTGGTGAGACTAGCGATGTACATTTAAACAGACGGGCTTCCCACTTTTGATATTAACCCTTAAAAAAAAAAAAAGAACATCACAACTACCTATCTCAACAGGTTATGAGCCCGAATGACTTAACCTTTGGGCAATCAGGAATCTAAATATAAAAGATTCCTGACATTCCATTACAGCTAAGCTTCTCCACCGGAGACTATCTCCATGAACTTCAGAAACTGATCACATATTCTCAGTAATTTGATAAACAGTATTAAGTCCTATTGCTCAAACCCTCTTCGCACAATAACGCGTATGGACTTCCTTTCACCAAAGAGTCACAGGCATCATGCCATCACTGCTACTGGCACGGAGTATCGCAGAGTTGCCCCCATAGCCGGGACATGTCACCGTTTGCAGCAAGCTTCAAACGTTTCCCTGCCAAAAGGCCATAAGCATTACACTATTATTGGTACGGTCACACTATCGCACTGGCACGGTGTACCTCCGAGTTGTACCTAAAGCTGGGACATGTCACCAATTCCAGAAAACTCAGAAGCTATCTTCTTGGGGCCACTAGCCACAAGGCCACCTCAGTCTTTGGAATAGAAATGCGAGAAAAACTACAAAAGAGACACTCGTGGACGGACGAAGAGCTGAACATTCTCTCGTACCTCCGACACACTCGCCACTGGCGCTTCAAACATATCCAAACGTCATACTTCCCATCACTCTCTCCAAGCGTACTCTTGGGAGCCTACTGGCGCCTGTCCACTGAAGACCGCATACGCCGAGCATCGAGGACAACCATCCCAATCACCGCTCCCCGCAACACGGTGAAAGATTTTCCAGGTGCCCCCAAAGCTCAACCTGGGTGTTCCAGTATCGAGCAGGGGACAAGTCGCTCTAGTTGCCCCGCCTCTGGCACTCTCACTCGGTCAGAAAACAACATTGGGACTTTGGCCTTGAGCCCACCAAGTCTTGCGGGTGGATGCCAGCCATTTATTTCCAATAACAGCGAATTGAGTCGTTACGAACTTCGGCCAAACAGACCCTCAACCTTCCCTCCAAGGAATCCGCAATATCTAGTTGACCGACGCCGTTTCCCACACATTTAGATCGTATAAGTACTCTCTCGATCTACAAGGGCTCTCAGACAGCGACTATATTCCTCCATCTCGGATGCCTACGCCAAGTTCATCAGATCGAAGCGTTTCCATCGTCTCAAGTCTTCCCAGTGCCGCGTCGAGCCTTGAACTCTTCGGTTTGGAGGTGCGCTCTCTTCAGTCATCAGATCGTGAATCGGCTACCTCTGATCGGCCCAACGACGTATCTAGCCCTGATTTCTTCAGCTCTGAGGAACATCCATTACCAATATGACTGAAATCACAAAATTCGAGCAATTTGGAATCAATACGTTTTATAATGGAATCCCGATACTGGATAATGCCAGCGATTGGTTTAGGTGGAATCAGAAGGTCAATGAGTTCATTCGGATATCTGCGGTTGCCGACGATGGAGCGACTCCACCGACAGAAGAAGAAGAAGCACAGCAATGGATCCACCGTCAAAAGTTCTATTCTGCGATGATCACGGCAAAGCTGACACACAATGCGGCACAAAGGATCAATGCCTTTGAGATGCCTCGAGTTCAAGTACTGCTTCAGGCAGTCAAGGACAACTTCAAACCAGAAGGCTCAGGCACGTATGTTAACCTCCAACGGCGATACATGGCCCTTACAAGAGACAATTGTGGGAGCACTCAAGCCCTCGGGGCAGAGATCAGGAAAAACTCCTCCTTGACCCTGATTGCGTAAGTTACGGTGTTCAGTATTCAAGCTAGAAAGTTTGCCTTGCTTGATTTCCTCATAATGCTTTCTTCGGACTTCTCCAATTCTAAGTCTGTAATTAAGAATGGGGTCGATTAATAGGAGCCTTAGAAAAGCTAGCCGATAAATACTTGGCCCGTTTCCCTAAGACGAATTCCGATGCAGACGGGTTCACACCACTTACTATTTTCGCGTGCCTTTTTCATCAAGTTGAATTTGCGACGATTCTGTTTTTGAGACATTGAATTTCTTTTCGGAGAAGAACCGTTTGAACAAGGATGGCTCATAATCGCCATTTGCCAGTTTTTAGCCTGAATTATGCCTCGTGAGTCTAGATTTGGACTTGCTAAAAAGTAGAATTAAGAAAAATAAAAGATTCTCTTATAGCCGTAGGCTCTAGATTTTAAATGATGTCAAACATCATGGAAGTCCAAATAGCACAAAAGCGCAAAAGTGCAATGGCGATTTTTGAACCGGCAGCAGGCCAATATTTTTGTGCTCAAGCACGGCGCAATATTAGACAGAGGGCTACTGATGTTTCAGTTCGTGGGTGAACATCTGGAAAGTCCTGAATAGATATCTCCCTTCATCCTCTCTGGTTTCTCTCTTTGTCTGTTTTTGATGGCAAATACCATACTTTATCTGAAGATCCTGTATATGTATTTGGCTCTCTCCAGAACATGTCATAAGGGCATTACCCTAGAATTTTGACGGTAGATCGGCTGTCGAAAATGGCACCACAGTAGACTTCTGCCGAGCTACTGTAACTTTCTTGGATAACGTACATACACGGCCAATGTTGTTCCGGAGTCCAGGTTTCTGAGGGGCGTTCAAGTACATTAGACTTGGTGCGTTTCTATGGCGGGCATGAAAGAGAAGTTCTTATTACAAGAATGTTCATCAGAGGCGACCAAGAAAAGGCTGGCTGGCTTCTGTATATTAAATGGCATTACACAGCCCTATTCTCCATGCCCATATTAAATTACCAACCGAATCCTGAGCCGTAGTGCCTTTAGGATCTTGAACACTCTTGCCCGCATATCTCCGATAAAATACAAGACTTTAACTGATGTGGCGGCGAATATCTTTTCATCGAAAGACGCACTCATAGTCTACTCTTCTAGGTTGGCTGAATGAGTAGTAGGTATTCCCAAAGCCCAAGGTCAATAGGATACCCTCACGTCATCTCCCAAGCGTCGATGCCAATTCAGCCGGTGACAAAGATCCTATGGATAGCTCCTGTGGCGGCGGCTTAGGCTTCTGGTAGAAGCCGTCAGCCGGTGTTTGTGCCGAGCCTAGATCAGAAGACTCTCTAACCCCAGTCAGCTCTCGTGATGATGGTCGATGTCGCCGTCGTAATAGAAAAAACCCCAATGTAGTCAACAACGCCAAACCACCCATACCGATGCCAACGCCGATTCCTGCTTTCGCGCCAGTCGAAAGTCCATCCGTACCAGAAGATGCAGATTTCGAAGTTGCCGTTGGAAGAGTTGCTGACTTGGATTGGATGCGGATTCCCGGTGAATATATACGATAGCCGTCGGTGGAATAAACCATTCCATCAGGTATGAAAGTAAAACCGTATTCTTTGGTCTGTGATAGGTATTTGCCGTCAACTTCGACCTTCCAATCATAAGATCCATGAGTGGAGATGTCGTTCGAGGCTATTTCGCAAGATTGTTAGCCCATTGTCCAGAAGTCTGTGACTGGCGATCGCGTACATGTAAGGATTTTGGAAAACGAGGAGTAATCAGAGTTCCATGCATTCACGTATAGGTTGGCTTTAGTCTCGTTGTTCATCCAGTGATTCGTGTAGGAAGAGTCCCAGCCCGCCCACTGAATCTGCAATGAATCTCCGATGAAATAGGTCTCTTTGAAGTTTTTATCGTCTCCATCGGGCCTTTGCCAGTGACTTCGGGCAGTTTCCGAGCTTTGAGCCAGCTGTGACACCGAGATCAAGAGCAGCCAAACCCACGCGAGGTTGCCCATGAAGCACAGCAAAAATGGTAGATTCCCGTTATCTCTTGCCCGAAGGTTAATGATTCTGTTTTGACTTTCAAGACGAAAGAAAGAATTGTGGGGTGAAAGTTTGGGGAGTTATGTTCTGGGAGTTAGAAAAGGAAATATAGTTTCAAAATATGATCCCTGAGAGGTGCGCGGCCGATCAATCCTGCAATTTCAGTTGTGCGCTGACTGGCAAGGGCCGAAACACTGAGAGGAGAAAACTGGGTGTAATGTTTATCGACTCTCGATTGCGTCGATCGGTAGCGCCAAGAACGGGGCAGACGTAGGAAATACGCCCTGGCCTATCAGAGTCGATCCAAAGTCTGATCGGCAAAAGAACTTACCTGATGTATAGTAACTAGTCACATGTTTCTCATCTAGACGCTTATCCATTCGCATTTCAACAATCTTGCTACAGAGCGGCCTGTTGCTTCGTATCATCCGGGGCGTTCTTCCCTTGCATAGGGATCCACTTTTGGTAGTGGTAAAAGGGGAGAAACTCCGTCGAATCCCCAAAAGTCCTCTCTTATCTCGTCTGAGTGCATTTTGAGTATGAATCGCAAGAAGGGGTGGTGCTTTAGCCCTTCGGCGACCGGTGTAGTTTGGACAGAGATAAAGAGGTCAAGAAACCTTGAAGATTGTGTGTTGCCGAGAGACCTGGTCAGGAAGACCTCGAATGATTGTGCCCATATCATATGTCCTTGCGCCATATCTATTATGGTGTAGTGAAACTTGTTGATAACGAACCGACGTGTACAGATCCTTCGGTAACTAATATAGCTCGTGATTGGAGGAAATTCGTGCCACCAAAAAGGAAAGGCTCCACTACAATGCGAAGTTTGAAAGCCCGCTAATAATAAATAGATCTCAATTTTCGAGGGATCAGAGAATAATTTCATCACGATCCGGTGACGCATACGACAATTCAAGGATAAAGCATCGCCAGGATCACCCAGAAACTGGCTACATAATATTGTCCCTGTGCAGCCTGCTCATATTTAGTTTGCGTGGGTATGAAAATGTATTTCTTTTTTTTGGATACTCAAGGACTGCGTATTTCCAGTACAAATATGCCTTGATAAGTCAGCAATATGAGACCGGATTACTGGGTCCCCGGGGCCTATCGCCCGATCTCACCCCTTAGCACTCTAGGTAAACTTCTCGAGGCGTCTAACATATCTCTTCCTCTCAAGGTCTAGCATTGAATGTAATCGGAGAATTCTAAGCATGTCTGCTTCGGCAGTGGCTCACCGACATGCACCCATCAGCCGTTCATGCGGTGATGGAACAACAATCGAACCATTTTCATTTGATATTTAACTGCATATTTAATTCAGGGGGAATATTCCGTATTGGGAAGTGTTCCAGGTTGAGAATTATTCCAGGTCTTTTTATTCATGTAGGAATTAAGGAAATGAATTGGCGACATTCTATTTACGCCTTCATTTTGTAATCTCGCTTAAGAGCATCGAGTGCATAGGTTCATGAGTGAGGTCTCTAGGAACAGTTGTATTTTTCTAACCACGGAGGTAGTTAATCCAATCAGAACTCGTCGGAGCTTCTGCGAAAATGTTGACAATGGGAGGTACCAAGGGAACGTGTATGCGAAGGTTCACGAACAAATATTCAGATGATACCATTCTTAAACCCAATATCTGTCAGTCGGAAACTGTCTGATCTCATTGCCAAATGACATGTTGAGCTGCACCCGACAAGGAGACAGGGGAGAGGCTGAAGTACTTCTCGAAACGCCTACAACGCACTTTGCCTGAAAGAGGTATAGTAACCCCCATATCGTGATCTGCAGATTTAGGGGGCCTCAAATGAAGACCCACTTAAACCCTCAATCGCAACATGAGCGCCATCTTCATTAGTTCTATCATGTTGTTCATGCGGGTCTATAACATCCAGTAGAGGATAGGGGAAAGGGAGATTCACAATGACAACGCCGATCTCTCGTATTTTTAGCAGCTTTTCTGGCCACTCATATGGATGATCTGCCGGAATAACCACATGACGTGTCCCATGTGTCCCAGGATATGAAACGGTTGTTCCTGTCGGGGATGAAGATCGCATAGCCGCATCCAGACCCGCGGTGTTGGGCAATGCCACATGGCCATCCTTCAGCCTTGCATTTTCGATGATCCGGTGATGCTCTGCTGGTATCAGCTTGAACAATAGGACAAGTGTGACAGTAAGGCAGTAAAGCATTTTTAGCACGTCTGCTGCGGGATGGCATACCGGCTTTTGAGTGTGCCTTTTGTTCCCAGGTTGGTTCCAAGCACTCAGACACTAATCCAAATCCGGTAGTAGGTACAGTCATTATGAACCCTCAGGCCAATTCCCACCCGCAGGGATCCACTGGTGATCGGAGTCTCAGATTGTGGAGAATGGCTCATCAAAATATGTCCCTGGCGGTGGTCTATTCATCTAAGTTCTAAGGTCTTACTAGTTGCTTTCATTCTCCTACTGAAGTTAGCCCCCGACTACCTCGTAGGGGAGTTATCACATTTATAAATACTAGAATTCTTCTTCAATCAACCAAGTCTTATATCAATGTTATTTTGTATTTCTATCTACCTACTCTGCCTCTCTTCATTCCTTTCTAACGCATCCCAATCACGAATCAGTTGCATAATGGCGTGTTCAGCATGCAACCACAATGACATCCTCCAACCTTCAGAAATCGAGTATTCCTGGTCCACCATAGACCTGACCGGCTGGAGAACAGATTTTCTCAAACAAGCCCAAGCTTTCTATATGTCTCCATCACCTGAGCCACCATTCACCACGAAATCAAGCACTCATGAGTTGCAGCTTCCCTCAACACCAAACTCTCAGGGAAAGGTACCATGTTCCTGCTTGACTTATTCAGGCCCAAATAGTACCAATGAGTCTATCAGGGGTATTGATCCCGAGCCCTTCGTGCTTCAGCGAAATGACGTTGCTATTTCTCCTCCGAGCTCCCACGAGCTTAGGGATCCTAGGCTATGGGATAATCTCGTTCGACAGAACAGCACTACGACTCAACCGACTGGCTCTATCAACCCATGTGGGGCCAAATGCAAACCTCCCCGTTCGTCTCGCATTTCATCGAGCAAGAGCAAGACGTATGTTTCTTTTTACATTGCTTTATTTCAATCATCGCATTCTAATCATTTTCTATTTAGTGATCACAAATACGGCACCTTCAAATGTGAATGGGAAGGCTGCAGCTATGACCGTATGTTCTCACGCAAAGGAGTCTTGATGCGGCATATCGCGATGCAGCATGTCAACCCACGATCGTTCAAGTGCCCTTCCTGTGACCATGCTACAAGTCGACGCGAAAACTTGAAAGCGCATAGGCTAGCAATTCACAAAGAACGCTTGTGATTATTATGGTAGCCTGTGTTGTGTGTACTGATTTGTGATTTGGTCTGGTTGTATTCCCTAAGTGCCCTTGTATGGTCGCTTTGTTTTTGAACTCTTTGTTTAGCTTGTGTTAATGTATTAATGTATCATATCAGATTCATCATATATATGTCTTTCAGTAAGAGAAGCCATTTATGAGAGTAGCGTGCGTGACCCAGGTACCTTTCAAGGTGCACATGTTGGGGTGTTGCAAGTAGGAACTATTGGGTCGGTACGGCGTGCAGTGGGGTGAACCTCCTCAATTCTCTTTCCTCTTCATCTTCAGATTCTAATTTTGCACATGGAAATTGATCATCATTTATAAGTCTCTGGTACCTGGTTTAGAGCTTCGGAAGAAGGGCTTATATTAGAGTAGAATCAAATTGTACCTTAGTCGAGCTAATGCGATCTGCAATTGTTCTGAAGGAAAGTGAGGATTACTTTTACCATTCAGGATAAAAGTCTTGGCTGAGACAATACAGAAATCGAATTTCACGAAGCTACATGACCCTGGATCGACTCTGATAGGCTAGGGCGTATTTCCTACGTCTGCCCCATTCTTGGCGCTACCATTACAAATACCGAGTCAGTTTCGCGACGATCATACCCTGGATCGACTCTGATAGGCCAGGGCGTATTTCCTATGTCAGCCCCATTCTTGGCGCTACCGATCGAAGCCGATGAATCTAGTCAACGATGCCTACAGCTTACAGATCAGCAAGAAACAACAATCTCTCCAAGAGCCGCACAGCCTGGCCCCATATCACGTGCATTTCTCAATACAACCTCCAGCCCCCTTCGACCTTTAAGCAAAACTTGTTTCTGTTGTAATTCAGAGGTATGAATTGACTTGTTATTTCTGAGGGATACATGAGCCTATATATATAGCAATTAGCCAAGTTGATTGGAAATCAACCTGGTCGTCTGTATAGACACTTCGGAGCTAATTCCGACGGTGCGGCTTGGTTCCTGATCTGCACCAGCCTCATATCACAACATTCCGCCTCAGGATCGCCTTGCTGGCAGGGCGATACTGGATTAACGCTGTGCAGGCAAGCCTCGGTAATGAGCAAGGGTGAGCAGATGGAGTCGCTCCTCGCACCCTGTCAGCGGTCTCTCACCGCTCCCTGTCAAAACTCTCCTACATCACCATCTAAATTTCCTCGCAACATACAATGACATAATATATGTATATACTACTTGCAACAAAAGTTACTCTGCCAGCCCTACTTTTGTGTATGCACTTGTGGTTTAATCGTTAATTCAAGGATTTGCATCAAACGGAAGTAGTTTAAAGGCCAATCTAGTGTGTATACGAGCACCTCCTTACACCCTCATGTGGATTCAAGCTGCGGCTTGCGTAGCTTGGTCGTCCAGCGTGACATTTCTTACAAACTGAACCCATTGGCCAATATCTCTCGCGAATTGGCGTGCAATACCCACCACAATCCCATTGTCGACGAAGAATGAGGGATCTTGGTCCTCGTGAATCAGTCTAAGATCAAAACTATTGACTAACGCCACATTGCATGCTTGGCGAAACTGTGCTTTCAGATTTTCGTCTCCAACATTCGATTCGTGCTATGCGCCGTAATCTTTGACAGCTTCGTCTCTTAGTCTGGAAAGATTGAGGTCTTCTATGACTCGGTCATTGGGTGGCAGAGCTATTGCTGAGGCTGTGGTTGGTTGCATGTGTCTTGTTGTGGGAAGGATTGCATCCGGTGCCTACTATCTTGTTCTTCTGAGATTGTTGACTATCCAGTCTATGCCGCTCTTCCATATATAGTTCTTCACAGAAATCATCCGGAACATCTTCATGAGACAGCAAGGCGCCGCCTTTCTCCACAAAGGCAATCAAACGCTTTAATTGATGGCTTCTCAATTTATAGTGCTTCTTTCCGTGGGGGTCTTGCCAGCAATATGGGCCGAGATAGCATGAGGAAGATAGGCAAAGCATTAAATTATATACACCCCGCCATATCGATTCTTGCCCAGACACACTTCGACATCCAATCAAGCGTCTCGCTCATTAAGCATTCGTTTAGTAACCGATAACCTTCCCCTTTTGTCGACCCTACCCGAGATAATTTTGCGGAGAGAGTCGTCCTCAACATATTTAAAAGTAATACTTATCCTCAGTTTCTTGCCTCGACGAAATAGTTCGCCCCACTTCAGCAGCTGCTTTTCAAAAGCAGTTTAATCGATATCGAGACAGTCAAACCGTTTCATCAGGTCACGTTAGGAGCGATCATTCACCGATACAGCGATCGAGGTGTCGTCCGACTTTACCCTTCCTTTACCGACTGTCTTTCCCTCTAACAACTTCTCCAACTTACCCTTCAGGGTCATCGGCTAGTAGGCACTCGGAGTCAGGGCTACGTCCTCTTCAGTGTCTCGCGAGAGCACCTTCTTATTCACTATAACTTTCCATTCAATCGTATATTGGATGCAGTTTGCCGGAAGCTCGTTACTTAGCATCCTATCGTGCCACTCGGATAGCTGAAGCAGTCTGGGTCTTTCGGGCTTGTGTTAGCACAAATCTTCGAGATCGTGCTCGGGGTGATAGTCGGGGGAAGGGCTGAGCCCACAGCTTGACCCAGGTATGCGACCGTAGTATCCTGGAGTGGGAGCATATTGTGAATCTTGGTCTCCGGTTTCAAGGACATGCGGTTGAAAATATGTTTCATCGGGATATGAATCAGTAGTCATCGTCTTCATCTGAACGCTCCAAAGATTCCAACGTCAGCAAGATCACAACCACTCAGTCAAGCAAATGCTAGTCTTCCATTAATCAGAAGGTCAAGCTTGCTACACAAAGCAATAAATATTACCCACTAGTGGCTGAAGACTAGGTGATGTGGCAAACCTCGTCTTTGTCGATCTTCGCAGCCGAAGGATATAAAAGCCGAACTCCTACCCTACACCTTCAAAGCTCTTTCCCTACACCTTCAAAGCTCTTTCGCTGCTACAGTATCTTGCACAGTCGCCAGTGATCCTGTCTTCCAGCGTGATAATCTAAGTGACCCTGTCGTTACTACAATGCAAAAAAAACCTCGAGGAGCTGAAAGAATGAGGTAGAAAACAGAGAAAGCTATCTTGGAGGCTTGGAGTAGAGAAAATAATTCCAATTTATAGTTCAGTAATTTGATATACAGTCTGTGTGTGTGTGTGTGTGTGTGTGTGTGTGTGTGTGTGTGTGTGTGTGTGTGTGTTGCCCTGAAACGAAGGAACGGAGTGAAAGGGGTTACAAACCGCGCGGCTGCGCGAGGTTGAGTTAACGCTGCTTAGAACGCTGCGATTCACACAGCCTACGCCTCCCTATCATTGGTTGTTGATTGGATTCATGATCACGTGTTCCTTCTCGTCTTTGTTATGCCTCCTTTGATGGGACTGGTCTCGAGTGGTCTCTCGGCCTGCCCGTTTCACAAGGAACATCCTAGTATGTTGTCCCTATCAACCTCTTCCTGTCCGCTGTTCCAATCATCTGCCAACTTCCGTGTTACGATCTCGCCATATTTTTGGTTTTCTGCACTCTTTCTACTCGGCCCTTCCTTTCCCTTTATCCTTGCCGTTCTTTTCCCGCGCCCGCCTATCTAATACTTATACCAGTGCTTTCCCATGCGCTTATTATTATAGTTGTGTTTTGCAGTATAAGGCGAACACTTTTGCTAATTCCCCAGGTTCTATCCTGACAACGACAGATGATGGAAATTGCATACTGTCCTCCACGCCTATAAATTGGACCTGTCGGTTGTTTTATCTGCTACAAAACCAATCTTCTACAATCTAGTCTTCCGAGCAATGAAGAAGATACCGACACGTATTTCATGCACTGTCCCGAGGCTGCCCAGCCAATAGTGACATGTCTCGGTGTCGTGATTGGTCAATTGAAGGATGGGCCCACTCTTCTCTGCCGTCTCCAGCCCACTGTTTACAACAATTCAACCTGAACCCATGACACCTTGCCTGTCACCACATACTTCAAAAATGGTCAGCGTTGGGCCAACTTTCCGCCACTGAACATAATCACCCATGTTTTCTTGACCCGTCGTATTTTCGGCCCTCACAAAAGAACATTGCCAGTTAGCTATCGTATCGGTACTAATGATATACACTTTCTCCCAACACCAAATAACCATTTGCCCGCTACCCCTTCCTCGACTGGTAAGCGGAAGCGCGTGTACCGTTGGCCTTAGGTGCTAGATTTCCCGAGCCTTTACCTCAATATTGATTGTTAAATAGAGAAAATTGCAAGGAGTTCGTTCAGTACATATATATTTTTCCGATGGGCGATAAACCGCACGTGATGATATCTTATCACGTGGTCCAAGACACGATGGATAATTATACACTAGCCCCCACTCCCCTATTGTCCCAACTCTCTATACGAAATCCTCGGTGACATATCGCCCATCCTGTACCCGTCCTCATTACACAGAATTTGGAAGGCTGCAGCTGAGTTAGATTTTGTACAGATCCTTCCATTGTTTGCAAGCAGAATGTGTGAGAACTCAACGCGAAAAAGATCACAGCACTCAAAATCGCGCTCAGGATGTGGAACGTGCAAGTGAGTTCCCCATATATGTGAGCTTATGCGGGAACTAAACGCTGTAAAGGATACGACATAAGAAATGTGACGAAACGCATCCCGCTTGTCTTAGATGTACGAGCGCAGGCAGGGAATGCGATGGTTATGAACAAGTCATCGATAGGAGGACGCGCGAGTGGCGTGACTTCAAAGTCAGAGGCTCTGCCAACATTCACAATAATGTAGCTCTGCAATCAGGATATCGCTCGAAAGTCCGGCCATCGGTCACTGCCATTCCTCTGCCTTTGGCCAGTGCCTGTCAGATCGACCTCACCTGGAACGAGCGATGGCTTCTGGATTTCTACCGAAATCGCACAGCGGTACGATTCTCGCATTACTTCCAGAATTCTTTCTGGTACGAATTGGTTCTCCAAATGTGCGAAAATCATCCTGCCGTCCGTCATGCTGTAATTGCTATGAGTGCATGGCATACCCATTTGGAACGAATTCCAGCAAGCCAAAAAGAACACCCAGATTCCTGTCTGGCTCTTCGTCATTCTACGAAAGCCATTGCTTGCCTCCGGGAAAGTCTCGCTCGAGAAATTCTAACTCCAAACAGCTCAAGCCTCACCCACAAGAAAGTAATGCTAGTGACATGCTTGGCTTTTACCGTGCTTGCTCTATTCCAAGGAGATCTCTTTTCTGCTCGCAATCATCTTGTCTCCGGTTATAAGATTTTCAAAGAATGGAATGTTCAGGAAGATAAAGATTTTACTGGGGTGGCCCTGGGACAGGCTTTTGCACAGATCCACGTTCACTGGTTTTTCTGCTCTCATCCCGAGATATTCCTCGAGGGTTCTGAACTTATTGATGGCGAGAATTGGATATGCCCGAACACTACAGCCGCTCCATCAAAGATTACTCCACATCTCTTTTCGGGTGTTGATCAGATGGATAGCGTCCAAAAATTCAGATTCCTGGTCTCGGATTTAATACTGAATTACACCACCTGCGAGTTTGAGATTGGACCAGCAAGCTCCGTCGGCCGCGGCGCAGCAGCAGTTTTGACCAAGCTTCGACTCTGTAGAAGTCGTCTCACGGGCACCCTCGTCGAATTGGGTGGTCTTGCGCCAGAGGACTGCGATAACCTCAAAGCCTGCTCATTATGGATCGGTATCATTGAGATTAAGCTGGCTGTCGCCGAGAGCCCAAATCCAGATGAGATGGCTTATGATGACCACTTGGAGCAGTTCCAGCATATCACAGATATTGCACGGATTCTGGCAGACTCAGCTACGGGCTCAAGTGAGACTGATTTTTCGCCGTTCAGTTACAGGTACTCAGTTTTGCCTGCGCTCTTGTGGTCTGCGGCCAAATGTCGCGATGAGAAGGTCCGTCGTGACATGTGTTCTATAATGCACAAGCGACCAGGGGATGACTACTGGGTATCTGCGACAACCGTGGCCTTGAAGAGACTGATTGATGTGGAGTCAATTGAAGTTAAGCCCGGGGAAATCATTCCTGTATCTGCTCGGGCTTACTGGGTCAACGTGGAGATCCAATCCGAGAAATCCAGAGTTGAGCTACGGTATCGCAGGCCTCAATACGTGTCACAATCGAAACATGATGGTGATAAATGGGAACGCGACTCAGCGAAATACTAACATCACCGAAAATACATCCGCATACATGCGCCACTTCGACCACTGTTCTCATAAACGGGGGGGCATGGCAAACCTGCGGCGCAGCAAAACTTCAATAGGATACCACCGAATGGCCTTGGTGAGGAAAACTCGTCAATGAGCTCAATGTAGTAAAGTTGTTGGTGGGATTTCATGTCAGCTCATATTGAATCCATGCCTCCTAGGGTAACAGTAAAGTATTCAGCTTATCTTCTGCTTCTCGGGATCGAAGAGTTCCTCTCTCTTGCTGTACAGTAGACATTATTGGGGTTAAAGCTCTCACAGCTTACAACATCTTGTGATCATGCTCATTCATGATCTCGTGGTAGACTCCCTGTCGAACTGAGGGGTGGTATTTTATCACTAAGGACAGGGTTATTCATCAAGTACCCATTCTCTCTTTGTCTCTGTATGGTAAACGGGGTACACTCGGCATACCAGCGTCGTAACACGCTAGGAACGACTCCCGAGATCTAACAACGCTTCAACAGCAAGATCCAGAACAACAATCAATGCATCTCAATGGGACACCTCAATACTAGCACATACCAGTATCCGTCAATCCGACAGTATCTATTAGAACAGGAGATCGCAGCATCAGCCGAAGAACTTGACATCCAGACGCACTTTTTCGACGCTATCAGTGATAACGAGGAAGATGTCGACCATGTCGAGGAATATCATGATACACCGTCACTCTCCGCAGTTGCCGCTGGTAAGCGGCCTACTGTCTCTTCTGGTGATGTAGACTCTGATACCGATGAACTCGCGTTTGTAGATGCCAATGGGAACCAGTCTACACCCCTCCATGATACGCAGCCTCGTGTATCAGGTAGGATACGGAAGAAGTCAAGACGCTTGGATGGGTATATAGCTTAATGGGTTGACCTTTAAGAGTCTATGAAAAGAAACTGTATAATCAATATTATGAAAATATGAGAACTGATGGCCCTAATACACTATTTAAAGATATGCCCATGATATACACTAAATCCCTTTGTAAGGCGATACTGTAATGAAGTTTTTCAAAGATGATACAGCCTATTTCTACCTGATTTATGCAATTGACCCACAGTTACGTTTTTTACCTGTTTGTCTGGTTTGAGGAACCTCCATGGACCCTTGGATACCCAAATGGAGGTTCCGGCCTCCTTGGAACCTACCCGCGGGTCGAAGCCAGGCCTAGTCCTGCCGGCTGGAAGTGCTGCACATCTGTCTGACTATATTACTAGACAAGCCGATACATTCTTTTCTCTATAAATACATGTATCCTCTGTTGACGTTTAAACTAGCTAATCCTCAGATTTATTTAAATATGTTTATGCTTATCATTTACTACGCCTAAATCAAGAAAGAGTGAAGCTAATATTTAATAGGGATATCACAAGTTAGCCATGTATCACCCCCTCGATAGCGTTAGGGTAATTCCACGGCTTCACAATTTTTGTGGCTATCTAATTCTGGTAGCACTCTCATAACTCCCCCTTTAGGATCATCCAATTCTCTTCTCAGTGCTGAATCCTGCCTGCTATCCATTTCAGGTATTATCTCTCCACTTGCTTCATTGACAGTAGGGTGGTAAAATACAGGCACCGTATGAATCATGCTTATTGGGTGAAGCATCCAAGACGGATGAAGATATGATCTGTGCGGGACCCACATAGTGCAACTAGGCTCCCCTGCCCACCCCACTCTGCTCGACTAATACCCCTGTCTCAGGTAATTTCGATGAGCTAGCACCAACCGAAATCTAACTTGGTGCATGGAGATTGGATGCCAGCCATTGGTGCTACCATGACTTTGTTGCGGGGCGACGTTTGAAAACGAATCGCGCTTCAATGGCTCGCTGCCTTACCGCCCCATTAAAGGTGGGGCTGGCTCGACCAAGGGGTGGATGTCCGCCGTAAAAGGTTCGGCATATTTGAATAGTATCGTAGTATCCAAGGAGCCCGAAAAGGCAGTCGAACATTGAGTAGGGACAACAAAGTCAAAGCGGATATGATTTTTCGGTCACTACTGACATCCGCCGATAATCTAAACTTTCTGATGATCCTCCCAACGTTGCTTGGCAGCCTTGAAACAAAACCTTGCAGAAACTACCTTCTAAAAGTGGTTCAAATGTGTAACTTTAATTCACTGAATACTATACATCAATTAGAGTTCGTTGAGGTTGGAGGTGACGTTCTTGTGACTGCGAACTATCCAAAAGGTGGTGATGCAGATATTAGATATTTCCGTTCCAAATATTGCTATATAGCAACAGACGTTAAAGTAATGAATATCACTCGCTCTTACAGATCAGTATCCATGCTTCCCCTTGGCGAATGCGCTGAATTTCTTTGGCCGGCGTTATGTTCTTCAGTCCCGTTCCGCACGATTATTTGGAATACCTAACAATTCTACCGATTTCCTACAACTGCCATTCTTTCAGTCTTCTATACACCAAAGCGCGAAGAAAATATGGAGATTTCTCAAAAATCTATTCACTCGTTTTCAAAGGCTTAAGCGGCAGCTTCAACATCAAATCCAAGACTTCTTTCCCAGCCGATCAAAATCTCTCCCGGGTCCATCTGCCGCCTCTTCTGAATCGGAACGCACACGACAATCAGCCGCCCCGTCCCCAGAGGCATCCCCCAACGTAGATAATATGTCACATAAAGGAAACAACGGAGATCTCGATCGGTTTGCATTTTTCCATGAAAGGGCTCTCAGCGGACACTCAAACTAGACTGGTCTTCAGTCTTCAGCTCCAGGGCCTGCGAGAAGAGCAACGAGCTAGGCGGCTCTGTTATGACAGAACAAGAGCCTTCGGGTGCCCACTTTCGTGCAAACCATGCGACAGTTGCGAGAGGATGTAAGTGATTATATGCCAAGCACGAGTACAAATTTTCTTTATCAGTGAACCCTATGGTCGTCACTGGAGGAATGTCATAGATACTGCCCAAATGGGGCGGTTTGTCGTCTTGAGAAGATCCTAACGATTGACTTCCACGATTCCAGCCTACGTCCACCCAGGTTTTGCAGCTATATTTGCTCCCTTGGGCAGTCTCTTCTGGTTTCTGAGGCCTTATTGGGGCATATGGTCACGCCATCGCTGTAGAACATCCTGCTTGGCCATGGATGTACCAAAAGAGCCGAATCATGAGTTTCCGATTGAACCATGAGAGTTTTGGCTTGATCCAGGCGAGCATTCAACAAACGCAAAATTCGGTTGGCCCACACTTTTGGTCGAGAGCTATGGCATCTGCACTCAAAAAAAAAAAAAAAAAATTGATTTGCAGCCAAAGATAACCTATGTTCTGGTGAATATGCGCAAAGTGGGGCTCTGGAACAGCTGAAAGCACAATACTCCATTTATCCGGGAGTTAATTGACACGGAGTTTGGACAGTGAGATCCGTCATCTGCCACCCATATGGACTGCTCACGGTGCAAGGAATCGCCCAAAATTGGCCCAGTACTTGTTGAGTCCCAGGCCATAATGAGGAAATTTTCTGGAAATACGTTCGGGGTGATGTGATATTCGGGGTATAGTCTCCCGGCTGAATAGGATTATTCCCGAGTGGTACCTGTAGTCATATAGGAAGAGTGCAATATATAAATGCTTGGGAAAGCACATTATGAGGCTTTTTACCTCACTGGGACCCTATTACATACCTGAGCAATGACTTCTGGGCTTAGTTGGCCACCAAAATTTCTCGTCCCATTATGGAAAAGAGGGCGTTGATTCCTGGCAGCTCTAGTGGCAGTTTTCAGGTGTGAAGCATACACGATGCGTGGAGAAATGATATGCGTGACGCATCAGGGTTGGCAACTCCTGAACGCAAGAAAGCCGCCTTTCTTCTGCTTCCCTTGCGTTACACCTTGTACCTAGGGTCAACTATAGCAGTCTAAAAGATCCATTTGCTACATGAAAGAAGCTGCCCCAGTCTATGTATACGTGAGACCCTCAATATAGACTTTGAAACCCTGGGGACCCCCAAATCTTTCTAGGAGTGTGTCAATGGCTCCCGGGAATTGGTATCTTGACTTGCGAAACACATATTCCACACGTCACATTAAGAGCCTTCTGTTCCTTGAAGCGAGTTACAACTTAACACGCACTGGGAAATCCATAGAAATTGGCAACCTTGCCAACCATGCTACCTACAGCAGCAGCTAGCCATTCCACCGATGTATGTTCGCCGTAATATAGCAGTAGTGATCTAGAATTCAAATGAGGCATCACGCACTACGGTAAAGTTTCAAATTCGCAAGTGCTAGATGTCAATGCTACTTAAATTCTATTGGGAGTTAGCTTCATTCTAGAAATGTTCTTCCTTGGCTCGGCGTTCGGCCACCCCTTCTGAGAGATATGTATAGTCTAGCATATTTTGCTTCGTATTCCTCGTTTTCTATCAAAACAATGCTGTGATTCGTGGTTGTCTGATCAAATTGACCAACGTGCTGGCTGCCTCATGCGCAGAGGAAAAACCATTCACCGGTTTGATTCTTTGCCACAAAATTGATCCAAAATCTCATTGTTTTGATTCAAATGTATGGAACAAAAGTTGCCACTATAACTTCACTTTTGACTGGTTCCACAATGAACTACATTTCCATTTGCTGACTTTGTAGCATGATTCGACGTCCAGTTCACACAAGGCGAAAATCAGCTTCAAGGCAATCCTTAGGCAGTATAAATATTGCGTATGACACTGTAACAGTAAAATTCGAAAGCAGTTAACACTCAAGACACTGCTTCCTTTGTCGGCCCGCGAGACGGTGTGGTGTTTTCCTTTTTCACCTTGTTTTGAGCCTCCCAGCAGGCTCGATACGCTATTAAACGCGTCCCTCACTTCTCTCCTCAAATTTCTTCGCAACTCCACCAGCCCTGGACAGTCCAAAGCACGTCGGGGACTGTTTCTTGCGCGCCGCAGTCGCAGCCGTCGTCGTCGCCGTAACCAATCTTCTCGCGGTAGGTGGGCAGCCATTGTGGCCCATG